TCTTAATGCTTGACATGGAAAAAGCATATGATAAAGTTGGTTGGGCTTTTGTTAGCACAACTCTACTTAGGCTGGGTTTTGGTCCCAAATTCTGCATGTGGACTAAAGCTCTATATGCATAAGCAACAGCCTCAGTAGTTGTCAATGGCAAGTTCTCTGAGGAATTGTCTGTAACCCGTTCGCTGAGGCAGGGCTGTCCCCTGGCCCCTCTGATCTTCGTCCTTCAACTCGAAGTTCTAATGAATAATATTCGGAGTAATAATGTAATTGAAGGCCTAAGGGCGCCCCCATCATTAGACTGGAAGGCGGGGGCCATCGCTGACGAGTTAATCGTGGCCTGTGTGAACACTATGGATTGTCTGTTGGAATTGCGTAAGGTTATAGATATGTATTGCGAATTGTCGGAAGCCTCTCTAAATTGGGACAAATCCGTCTTTTTTTTTCCCCCCAATTTGAGTTGTGTGTGGAGCGGGGCCTGCGTCGCATTCCCGTTAACTCTTCAGACAGGTTCCTGGGTAGACAAGTTTCCCTGTCAGATTGCTCTTCGACTCAGGACAATATCATAGTTGGGAAAACCTCGACAAGGATAGCAAGATGGGAACGAAGTTACACCCTCTCCCTTTTTGGCAGAGCTCTGGTTCTGTCTGCTGCTGCTTTTTCGACTCTCTGGTTTCCCCTGGCGGTGTGTTTGTTAGGGGATGAGGCCTACAAGAAGATAAAGAGAGTTGTGGCGCGGTATTTATGTAAACCTTCTGCGTCGGAGGAACAAGGATTCATTTCTAAGGTGGACTGGGAGGCGATAGCCAGGCCTCGGTATCAAGGAGGTCTAGGAGTGCTTGACCCTCTGATGCAAAATCTTGCTTTATTGTCCAAATGGCCGGTCCAAGCCATGGTTGGGGAGGAATGGAAAGTCTGGATGAAGTTGGCAGAATATACTCTGGGTTGTGAATGGGGACTGGAGGACACTACGAAACTGTGGCTCTGCCTCTTGATGCCATCTTTCTCCCAGCGTCGCCCGCACTCGAGAACTTGGCCGAACATTCTGTATGCATGGAACAAACTCAAGCCCCTAGAGTGGAGACCACCTCAGACTAAGAAGGAATGCTTGAATCAACTCTTATTTGACAATCCTTATATCCTACAGCAGAATGGTTCTCCATTTGCAGCACAGGGGGGTGACTTGAATTTTGGAAATGCTTGGGTCAAGAAAGGCGTTATTCAGGTTAAGGACATCTGGGACCCAGATTTATCAGATTGGATTAACGAGGATACGCTGCGAAGGAAGCTTCCGAGGATACATAATCTATCTAGGAATTATCAGTTCTTACTGGAAGCCATTCCTCAAGCATGGGCTGATCTGCTCCAAACTGATAGTGAGAACGCACAGAACACATGGATCAGATCCCCTAGTCATGCGAATGAGATCTGGAGAATACTGGGTCCAGCAGCTGACCAAGGTATCAAGGTACAGACGTGGTCTTTGCCTTCTATTCTGCAGACTTCAGGACAACTAAGTGAAACAGGAGAACAAGTGGTCCCGCATACTACTGACCTGGCTGGGGAGAAACACAGATGCCTATAGGGTGGAACCGTTATTGTTTGGCTGGAAGGGTCTCAAGTCCAGCACTTCCTTTACTCCTCTGGACCGGTATACCTCAAAAATAGGAGTTGAGATCCAGTGCTCCCAGTCAAAGCTTAAGCCGTCATCCCTGGCCCTTAAGAGAGCGGAACAACAGCAGTTCTCAGGGGTAACTGAAATTAATTTGAAGATTTTATGGACTGCTTTGAAGAAACTGCCCTCGCAGAAGCAGGCTGCTATTATTTGGTTTCAATCCCTTTTGGATACTGCTACTGCATCGTGGTTATCTGCCAAGGGAATGGATGTGTCTCTGATTTGTCAACGCTGTAACTGGGGTTGGGAAGATCAAGCGCATCTCTGGCTGTTTTGTCCACTCCTCGATGACCTGCTGGTGGAAGAGGCACTGGTACCTCCTTTATGATCAAGAAATGCAATGGACAGATAATTGGTGGCTCACTGGTCTCCCTTCGTCAGGACTCTGTCTAACGTCAGGTACGGGGTATGTGGCACTCTGTTGCCGAGGGGCGTTGCTAGAGGTCATCTGGACAGCCCGCAATGCAAAGGTTTTCAAAGGAGAAACTTTCTCCCTCCCACAACAGAAGGCATTGATGAAGAACAAAGTAAGACTTACCATTATCGCAGACTGGACTCAGCGTCAATTGCCGGGAGCTAGGAACCTGCAGTGGTTTCAGCGATCTTGGAGTTTAGCCTGCAAGTGAGCATCAATTAGCCCAGAGGGATCACTGTCACTATCTCCTTGGCTTTTGGAGTCAGGAGGATAGAGATAGAGGAGTCTGTTGAAAACGTAGGGATTGGTACTGGTCGTTTTAGACCATTTCTTTTTTTTACAGGATGAGGGGTTTTTGTGTCTATATCAATATTAGTCGGATAGACTTTAGATTTTGGTAGGCCACGGTTTACTTACGAAATGATTTAGAATGAGTCATCAGCCTTTCGTTGAGCTTCAAGTTGGATTCCTTTTCTTTTTTTGGAAGGTTGCATCAAGACTAAGAAGGGACGCTGAACCCGGTTTTCAGCCAAGCCTAAACTGGGTAATGGCCCCAGGACAACTCAGGGTAGAATTGTGAGGTCCCCGACCTCTTATGATGTTGAAATGAATATAAA